TCCACGCGGTGCCGCGCCTGCACGTGGGGCAGGGGGCAGCCACAGGCATAGGCCTGAGGCTACTCCCAGTGCTGGTGGGGGCCAGCCAGGCAGCCGGCGTGGCCGCTTGCTGAGCTCTCAGGGTGCGCTCATGCTGCGGGCCCGCTCGTGGACTCCTCAGGGTGGCTTGGGTCAACACTGATGGGCACTCGCATTGCTGCGCCGCGCATGTCAAAGGCTGCCAGTGCCGTCGGTCGGGGCGCCGGCGGCGCCAGTGCACATGGCTGCTTGCTGCCGCATGCCGGCTCGAAGCGCATGGTGCATGGGGCTGCATGCAGTGTCGTTGCAACTCACATGGCCGTCCAGGGATGAGGGGTAGTAATCGGTGCAGATGCCCTCGTAGAATTTCCGGTCCGAAGGCCACCACAAGCGCAGCCGCCTGTTGACGGCGGATCGGCGGGGGGCGGTGAGGTGGGCGCGTGGCTGTGAGGGGGCCCCATGCGTGAGTGTTCGCAGGCCCTTGCACTGTGTTAAGCACCGGGGTGGTGCACAGGGTGCCCCATGGATGCATGCCTCTGCATGCATGCACGTGCAGACATGCATACGTGCATGCATACGAGCGAGGGCCCCCATGCAGACAAGCGCACACGGGAATGTATGCAGGGGGGTTCATGCAAGCATGCACGCAAGCGGCCCAGGGCCGCTGCACGCCCGAGGCCGCGCGGCGCCAGCATGCAGCCGTGCATCGCGCCGCCAGGACGCAGCATGCGGCCCGGCCCCATGCGGCAGCCGTGCATGCAGCCGCGCCTGCGCTGCCACGCCCGGGCCATGGCGCGATGCGGCACCCTCAAACCAATCACCTGCCCACGACGTCGTGTGGGCCCAGAAGGTCGTGCGCGGCCCAGATCGGCTCACGGCCTGCTGACGCCGCCGCAGCGCAAGCGGCCGCTGCAGGCGCCGGCGCGGGTGCGAGGGGCTCCCATCGTGCGGTGGACAGGTCGAGGACGTGCGCCGACGCAAGGTCGCGTTGCGCTGAGCTGTGCGGCATGCGGGCGCTGAAGGTGGGTGCGAGCTCGAGGCGGTGGAGGCGCGGCGTGCCGGGCGGCACCTGTGGGAGGGGAGGACGAACGGGAGGGGATGACACAAGGCAGGGGAGGAAGTGGGACACCCGTCACGGCATGCGAGCCGCGCTTGTGCGGAGCGGCCGGTTGCTGGCATCTGCGCTTGCCGGATGGGATCGGAGACGCGAGGCGTGAAGCGGGGGGTGCCGGCAGTTTGCGTCGCCCAGCAACCAACGACAAGCGGCGGGCGGCGCACCAGGCAAGCGTGCGTAATCCAGCCCTCTGCGGGCTCCCCGCCGGTATCTGCCTCGCCGTGCAAGATCCAAACTCGCACGGCTGGCGGTAGAGGCGCCTCCATGACGTGGTAGGGTGGACGTGCAAGATTCACCAGGCTCGAGATCTTAGGTCAGCAGAGCGGCATGAAAGTCATGCTGCAATGACATATATGTAGTGACGAAGATTCAAATATATATCCTGCCGGGGTACAGGTGTATCAGCAACCGTTCAAAAAGTCCCGGAAACTGTATGCGAAGCACTTCGTGCATGGCACCCACCGCTATATGTGCTTGATTGTGAATTTTTAGATTCTTACGTACACTTGCAGGGACTAGATCTATCGCCTTGACGATCTGACGGCAGCATGCAGCAGGTGCTGCGGAGACAGTCGCCATGCGCTGTATGTACGAGAAGGCAGCCAAAAACCGGTCAAGTCTCGCATGCCGTTACCAGGTGCGAGCTGAAAGCAGCAAAGGCGTACGAGGCTTGGTCCAACGGTGCGCCGCTCGCTGGTGACGCACTCTGCACTGTCCTCCCAAACGCATGCACACTGCAGAGCTGGCAACACCGCCAGCAAAGTTGCAGCCATCAGCACACATGAGAAGGGGCCGCAGCGTCGCTGTGTGCAGCGGCGATTGCCACTGTACAACCGGCGGCGGCACCTCGGCCGCCCGCCCCACGCGGTGGCGGCCGCGGCCGGCGCCGTCCCGGCCGCGGCGGCAGCGGCCCTCGCGGCGCCGCCGGCGCTGTGGGTCGCCTTGATGGCTGCGGGCGGCTTTGCACTCGCGGCGGTTGTTGCTACGGTCGCGATCTGCCTGCGGCCGGTGGTGCAGGTCAGGGCCCCGACGCTCCCACCATCCACCCCCCCCTTGCCTGCGAAAGGGGAGGGGGGCGCATCCTCCCCCCGCACCTCCCATCCACCACCCCACCCC